ATCTACACAGGTTGTTATTATATAAATTAGCATTTCCCTTTCTCCGAGCCTCATTTGAGTGAGACATAGTCTCACACTGTAGCTCAGGTTGGTTTGGAACTCATTATACAGTGTATGCTTCAAACTCACAGCAACCGTTGGCTTCCCAAGTGCTGGGGTAATAGGTATGAACTGCCATGCTTTTTCTTTTTATTGTCAAATACTATTATATTATATTATGTTGATATGTCCATTTCTTTATTCATTCAGTTTCTTGCTTTTGATCTTATAGTATGTATTAAGTCTTTAAAATAGTTCAGAAACAGTTAAATATGAATGTGCATGAATAGATAAAATGTGGCAGCATTAGAATTGGTACATGTGTAAATAATATAAAGGGATTATTTGTGCAATGCTTTCAGCTTTTCTGTACATCTGAAGATTATGCCTAAAAATTAGACAAGAGGCTGTTATTACTTAGTATAACTCATTATTCCAGCACTTGGTCCCTAGTTGGTGGCACTGTTTTGGGAGTTGTAACTTTTGGGTTAAAGAAGAATGGTTGGCAGCAGTGGATCACTACGATGGGCTCGGCTCTGCATCTAGCCTGTGTCTCTGCTATCTGCCTCTCTTCACAATGACCAGCCACCACATGAGCCTGCTGCCAGAGACTGAGCAGCTCCAGCTGCCAGGCCTTCCTGGCATGATGGACTCACACTGTGAACCAAAACAAAGGCCACCTCACTTAAGATTTGTCTGCAGTTATTCTGTCAAGGTGATGAGAAAACTAACTACCACAGAGGTCAGACCCAGAAGAGACTATGTTAGGAAACGGTGGGCGAGGGGTGGAAGGGCAGTAGTAAGTCAAAAAATTTAGGGGGAAACCTCCAAAATTTAACGGACATTTTTTTTTTTCTCTTTTGAGACAGGGTCTCACGTAGCCCATCTCCACTGGGACTGGCTATGCAGCCAAGGATGACCTTGAATTTCTGATCCTCCAGCCTCTCTAATGCTGGGGTTACATTCATATACACCACCAAGTCTGACTGTATTCGACTCTAGGAATTAAACCCAGGGCTTTATGTTCTTGTAGGCAAGCAGTTGGGAAACTGCTAGAACTATCCATGGCACCTGAAACTTACATCCTGTCACAAAGCCCTAAACAAACATGACTGCCGAAAATAATTTATTTCCAAGTCAGAATACTTTATTACTGTAAATAATTTGTTCAATGTGTTTGTAGTTCTTGAGCAAAAAAAAAAAATCCAAAAATAAAAGAAATTCTACAAATAGAAACACAATGCTAAGGTAAGTCTGAAAAAGAATCTAGAGCCAGCAAGATGGCTTCCAGATAAAGGCACTGACCACCTGACAACCTGAATTCCTTCCATCCTTAAGACCCTTGTGGTGGGAGAAGAGAACTGGCTCTCCCAGGTTATCATGTGACTTCTGCACACAAGCCATGACACCCTCCTCCCACTTCTGCACACAAGTCATGTAACACACGCATACTCATGAGCAGAGAGGGAGAGAAAGAGATTAAAAATTTTTATAAAAGGATTCTATATAGCTTGCTACCTTTTATATTAACTCAAAGATGCCGGCCCCCAACCCCAGCTTAAGCACTTAGAATTAAAGGGGATTGTGGGTGTGTGTATGTGTGTGTGTGTGTGTGAGAGAGAGGGGGGGGGTGTCTCTCAGAGATAGCCCAGGCCGGCCTTGAACTCCCTGATCTTTCTGGCTTGTCTACCTTGTTCTGGGACTGTAGGTATACCACCCTGCCCAGCAAGCACTTCAGTGAAAACTGGAAGTTTTCAGGCTGAGACATCTGCCAACAAAATACTGATGGGTGGAGGTAGTGTGAGGAGATGAAATATTAATAAAGAAAATAATTTTAAAAGGGGAGATGTTGTTAAAGTTCAGGCAGACCTCAAATACATTATTGGAAAATGTTTTCAGAAGTAACCCAAGATGAAAAAGTAACCACAAAAAAGTTCAGAGATGGCATGGAAGCATATGCTTTTAATTTCAGCATTTAGGAAGCTCA